CATGGGAGGACTTTATTGTTCTAATTATGTTTAATTTCTCTAAATTCTGGGCAGGCCTCAGCACATAAGCCACATGACTTTTTGTCCAAGGCCATGTCCACCCTGGAGTTGCTTTATGACAGCATCCACAGCCACCTTGACAGGTCGATGTCACTTCTGTGCCTGCTCAGTTGTCAGTTGATCAAAAAGACCAGCACATTATTGGTGGGCTTCTTGTGTTTGAAGAATTTGTCAGACTTCTTGATATTCAGCGTGGGCTCGTTGGAACTGGCTTTAGGGAGCTCTTTACCCATGACACAGCGGCTCCAAACAACCTCAGGAAGACAGCTCAACTAAGAAAGCAGGATCACAAGGTCCCACAACAGTCTGTCTGCAAGCTGAGAGCAAGGAGAGTCAGTCTGAGTCCCAAAACTGAAGAACTAGAAGTCTGATGATGTTCGAGGGCAGGAAGCATCCAGCACAGGAGAAAGATGTAGACTGGGAGGCCAGGCCCCTTTCAGCCTTTCACGTTTCCCTGCCTGCTTTATATTTGCTGGCAGCTGATTAGATTCTGCCCACCAGATTAAGGGTGGGTCTACCTTCCCCAGCCCACTTACTCAAATGCTAATCAATCTCCTTTGGTAACACCCTGCAGGAACACCCAGGATTAACGCCCTGCATCCTTCAATCCAATCATGTTGACACTTAGTATTAACCATCACAAGTCCACCCCTTATCAACTTGAACCCATGCACATCTCCTGAGATCACACATAGTCTTCAAATAAAGACAATCATAAGGTCATAATTATTGTTCATACACCCAGAAACGAACCAATCCCCAACCCAAATGCCATCACATAAAGTTAGCAATACTTAAATCCTGATATAAAGTCAATAAATCTTATGTCACATGATAAAGGACAAGGAAATCAAATGAAGATATTTTCTCAGTACAAGTGTATACCTGCAGAAACATGTTTTTAACAAAAGAAAGAGGAAATAATCATGACAATTACAGTCCTCGTTTCTGCAGCTGGTCAGGTAGTCATAGCTGCTATCGATGACTACCTTCTACTACCCAATCTGTATTCCCTTTGCTGTCAGCAAGCACGTCTGCAGGTCGTGGTTTTTTTCCTGGTGGAGTGACTGAAACCTTCATTCCTGAAGGGTCTGGGTCATTTGTAGTCCTGCCCAGATTGGCTGTTGTAGTTTCCCATTGGCCTTAATCACAGGTCATGTAGTACTAAGAGATGCCCTAAGGGGTCTCCTGTATTCCATGCATACCCTTTTTTGTTTGTTTTTGAGACGAAGTCTCGCCCAGTTGCCCGGGCTGGAGTGCAGTGGCACAATATCTCACTGCAACCTCTGCCTCTTGGGTTCAAGTGATTCTCCTGCCTCAGCCTCCTGAGTAGCTGGGATCATAGGCCCCTGCTACCATGCCCACCTAATTTTTGTATTTTTAGTAGAGACAGGGGTTTCACCATCTTGGCCAGGCTGGTCGTGAATTCCTGACCTCATGATCCACCCACCTGCCTCGGCCTCCCAAAGTGCAGGGATTACAGGCGTGAGCCACCACACCCGTCCCATGCATACTCTTCCTTACCTCCATTGTGGAAAAGTAGACTGATTTCATCTTGATAGTCTGGGTCAGTCACCCCACCCCACACTGTAACTCCTTTCTTAGCCTGTTGACTTAAAGATAGGAGGAGCCCATTCTGTTCAATTTTACCATCCAGTTTAATGGAATTGTTGTGTCTCCTAGTGGCAGCATTCCTCCCTCTGGAACTAAGACCTCTAGGCCAGCAGAACGTAATGTCATGGGAACAGAAAGCAAAAAATTTGCTTACATTATCACTTTCATCATCATGAGGGCAGGAAACATCCAGCACAGGAGAAAGATGGAGACTGGGAGGCTAGGCCTGTCTCCAGGAATATTTTTTAATTTACAGTTTTACTTATACAATTTTAAGATTTGAAATTAGAAAATTCATTTGTTCAGGTTATATAGGTTTTTGAATGTAGAAAAAAAGTCATGCTATTGCTTAAAGAATGAAAACTTTCTTAAGTGTACCAGAGGACATACACAGTAACTGACTCCTAGTCAGTAATGTAAGTTAATTTGCAGCATATCTTGTAGCGTATTCATACCACTGGTAAGGTGAGTGATTGAGAGAAATACTTCTTTTTGGAGGGAGAGGAGTAGAGCTTTATACCCAATAATTTTTAAAATTATTTTGTGATTTATGTTTTAATGTTCTTTGAGTAATTTAATGTAGTATTCAACTTTGAAAATTTTAATCTGATTTCTGATACCATTCAGAAAATAGTTTTTGATAGCAGACACTATGAGTTGAGTAAGAACATCACAAAAATGATGACCTTTTTCCTTCTTAAATTAAATCTTTATTACCAATAGGAAATGTTAGGATTTTGAAAGATAATGCTTGTTATTTTCTCAGAAAAGCAGTTGAAGAAGCAAGACACCCAGATTTACAAGGAATAACTATTTATGTTGCACAAGATTGTACAGGTAAGGAATGTATATAATTCTAATTTTTATCGGTTTTATTTGGTCATACTTTTTATATGTGTTTAGTTTATCATCCCAGTAATACTGCAATGATTATGAAGGCAGGGACCATGTCTTATACATTTTTGTTCCTAAATGTAGTAAGCACTTAACAAATATTTTTTGATTGAATACATACTATGAATTTTTTGATGTAATATTAAAATAAATTCTCAAAGAATTTCAGCATTTCAGATTACTTAAAAAGAGATAGGCAGGAAAATTCAACATACGTATATACTTTGGCTGCATGTATGCTAGGTACCATTTTATTGTTTCAAGGAAAGAAAATTCTTAGTTTATATTATGAGGAATTGAATATATTTCTCATTAATACTTTAGTAAATCATCTAATAATGATGCAGCTATTATCCAGATTTGCTTTGTTTTATTGTTTTGGGTCTTCTTTTTGATGATCTCTCTCTCTACAGGTTGAGTATGTTTTATCCAAAATGTTTGAGACCACAAGTGTTTTCGATTTTGTCGTTTTTTGGACCTTTCAATATTTGCCTGTATGTAATGAGATATCTAGGGGATGGGACTGAAGTCTAAACATGAAATTCATTTATGTTTTGTATACTCCTTATACACATAGCCTGAAGGAAATTTCATACACGGTTTTTAATAATTTTGTGCATGAGACAAAGTTTTGACTGTTTTGATTGCAGCCTGTCACGTGCAGTCACATGTAGAATTTTTCACTTGTGAAAAATGTTGTGCTCTAAAAGTTTCAGATTTTGGAGTAGGAATGCTCAATGTATATTAATTTTGAAACTTTGTTGGGCATAAAATAGAGACCTTAATTCTTAATAAAATAAAAATGGCTTGGCCACCTCATGCTGTTAAGTAAATATTTTTTACAGAAATACTATTACAATTATAAAATATGTTAATGTTTTAGAAAAGTTAAATATACTTCAATCATGTTTTAATACAAAGATATCTGTAAAATGCTTAAGGTTACCCTGCATTTTTATTTGGCCTTTTGTTAAGATTAGTTTCCTTTTAAAGAAAGACTAATTTTTAGATGAATATATGAGTTTTGCAGATACTATGTTTATTTTTCCAGTAGGAAGTCTTGCAAAAAATTTGCTGTGTTAAATAGTTCCAGGTAACAATAAGGATGTACCTAAACAAGTAATCATTAAATAAATGTATGAATTTGTCTTTTGTGCTTTTATTGACACAGTCAGCCTAGATCTTTATTACATATAATTAAGCAAACATTACAATGTTCCTTGTTATAGAAATGGTTTGTGTAATTTGAAGTAGTTCTTAAATTTTTTTATTCACGTTTAAGTCTCCTAAAGGGAGAAATTGTATTTGTATAGTTTTGATAGACTGTGAGATTTGGGATTAAGTGACACTTAAACCAGATTCTGTCCATGATTTCTGTTTTTAAAGGTTTTGTTTTCCATTTATTATTATTTTTTTCTTATTCTGTGTTCTCTTCCTTTGTAATTGCATCTATTTTCATGGCTTTAAATGCTGTATACTAGGACTTTTAAAACTATATTTTTAGGGCCAAGCATGGTGGCTCACACCTATATCTCAGCACTTTGAGAGGCTGAGGTGGGCAGATGACTTGAGCCCACCAGTTCAAGACCAGCCTGAGCAACATGGTGAAACCCAGTCACTTGAGCCCAGCAGTTTGAGAGGCAATGTGGTGAAACCTCGTCACTACAAAATATACAAAACTTAGTTGAGCATAGTGGTGACATGCCTGTAGTCCCAGCTACTTGGGAGGCTGAGGTAGGAGGATCACTTGAGCTCGAAAGGCAGAGTTGCAGTGAGCCGATATCGTGCCACATTGCATGCCAGCCTGGTCAACAGAGTGAAACCCTGTCTCAAAAAACTACATTTCTAAGCCTACCTGAGGCAATATGTGATAACTCACATTTTCTGCCACCTTTCAAATATCTCCACTTACATATTCTACAAACATTTCAAATTCAGTATGTTTAAAACTGCTGTTTCCCTCAGTCCCACCCCTTTTTGCTTTCTATTTCCTCTTGACTGGCACGTCCACATATGTACTCAAGTCCTAAGTAGAACCTACTCATTCTTGACTGCCTTTTCATTGCTTATATTTAGTCAGTCAGCATTTTAAAAAATGTTCCTGAAATCTGTTTTCTTCTTTATTCTTGTTGATTTAGATCAGACTCTTATCTCTCACTTGAACTTTAACTTGATTTCCCTACTTGTCTGTCTTCCCTTTTTGGTATATCTGAGCAAAATAAACTGATCATGTTCCTTTATCTACAAACCAATCACAGCCCACTAACTCTAGTCTCATGTTGTCTTGGCATATGAAGCACCATGAAGTCCTTTATAATTTGTCCTGACCTACTTTTCCAGCATCACCTTCTCACACTGTCTTCCATACACAGTATACTAAAGTATTTTCCCCTCTCAGGCCATTCCTTAGACATGGTGTCATTACCCTTTTTCCCCATGCCTTTCTGCATATTATTGCCTCTGCTTGGCATGTCCTTTATTGTTAGAATGCCTCTTGTTAAGTTTATTTTTTATTTTATTATACTTTAAGTTCTGGGGTATATATGCAGAACGTGCAGGTTTGTTACACAGGCGTATATGTGCCAGGGTGGTTTGCTGCACCTGTCACTCTGTCATCTACATTAGGTATTTCTCCTAATACTAGCCCCCCACCCCCTGACAGGCCTCAGTGTGTGATGTTTCCCTCTCTGGGTCCATGTGTTCTCCTTGTTCAACTCTCACTTATGAGTGATAACATGCAGTGTTTCGTTTGCTGTTCTTGTGTTAGTTTGCTGAGAATGATGGTTTCCACCAGCTTCATCCATGTCCCTGAAAAGGACATGAACTAATCCTTTTTTATGACTTCATAGTATTCCATGGTGTATATATGTCACATTTTCTTTTCTTTTTTTTTTTTGAGATGGAGTTTCACTCTTGTTACCCAGGCTGGAGTGCAATGGCGCGATCTTGGCTCACCGCAACCTCCGCCTCCCGGGTTCAGGCAATTCTCCTGCCTCAGCCTCCTGAGTAGCTGGGATTACAGGCACTCGCCACCATGCCCAGCTAATGTTTTGTATTTTTAGTAGAGACGGGGTTTCACCATGTTGACCAGGATGGTCTCGATCTCTTGACCTCGTGATCCACCCGCCTCGGCCTCCCAAAGTGCTGGGATTACAGGCGTGAGCCACCGCGCCCGGCCACATTTTCTTTATCGAGTCTATCGTTGATGGGCATTTGGGTTGGTTCCAAGTCTTTGCTATTGTAAACAGTGTTGCAATAAACCTACATGTGTATGTGTCTTTATAGTAGACTGATTTATAATCCTTTGGGTATATATCCAGTAATGGGATTGCTGGGTCAAATGGTATTCCTGGTTCTAGATCCTTGAGGAATAGCCAGACTGTCTTCCACAATGGTTGAACTAATTTACACTCCCAACAACAGTGTAAAAGCATTTCTCTTTCTCCACATCCTCTCCAGCATCTGTTTTTTCCTGATTTTTTCATGATCACCATTCTAACTAGTGTGAGATGATATCTCATTGTGGTTTTGATTTGCACTTCTCTAATGACCAGTGATGAACTTTTTTTCATGTGTTTTTTGTTCATATAAATGTCTTTTGAGAAGTGTCTGTTCATATCCTTTGCCCACTTTTTGATGGGGTTGCTTTTTTCTTGTAAATTTAAGTTCTTTGAGGATTCAGGATATTAGCCCTTTGTCAGATGGTTATATTGCAACATTTTTCTCCTGTTCTGTAGTTTGCCTGTTCACTCTGGTGTCTTTTGCTGTGCAGAAGCTCTTTAGTTTAATTAGATCCCATGAATCAATTTTAGTTTTTGTTGCCATTGCTTGTGGTGTTTTAGTCATGAAGTCTTTGCCCATGCCTATCACCTGAATGGTTTTGCCTAGGTTTTTTCTATGGTTTTAGGTCTTACGTTTAAGTCTTTAATCCGTCTTGAGTTAATTTTTGTATAAGGTGTAAGGAAGGGGTCCAGTTTCAGTTTTCTGGATATGACCAGCCAGTTTTCCCAGCACCATTTATTGAATAGGGAATCCTTTCCCTATTTTTGTCAGGTTTGTCAAAGATCAGATGGTTGTAGATGTATGGTATTATTTCTGAGGACTCTTGTTCTGTTCCATTGGTCTATATATCTGTTTTGGTAGCTGTTGAGTCTTGTTCATTCTTCAAGAACACGCACAAAGGTTATACCTTTGGCAGTCTTTCCCAACTGTCGTTAGGCAGAATTAGTTTACTTTTCCTCTGTGCTCTGTAACATTTTGGAGATACTTCTATTAAATATTGTACTTGTGATTCAGTTGTGATATCACCTTATAATTTCCTGTTTCTTGTATATAATATCAATGATAGTTGAGGTAGCAAGCGTAGAGGTAAGGTATTAGAATCATTTGGTTGAGATTCTCTGCTGTAATGAACCTCTGTTACAGAATTGGACTATGTCATAGCCCTTACATATATAGGAAGTGGAGGAAAAACACCAAATGATTAGGCTAGACATTTTTTGAAGTCAGGATCTTATTTATTTTATACCTCTCTAGTGTAGAACACATCAAGAAATAGCAGATCCTCAATAAATGTATGTTGAATGAAGATGAAGGGTAAGAATGCAATCTCTATCCTGATAAGGGAGAACTGCCGTGACATTTTTGTAGCTTTAGTTTCAACTGACTATGGGAGATAGGGGAGTCAGGTAAAGAGAAGAATTTGTTAGCTCAGTCTAAATTTTGAATTTAAAGGAAAGAACTTGGACAGAAGTGGCAGAATTTCCTATTCAGCTCTTCTGGGAAGATCAGAAGTTTCATTAAACTGACAAGGCATACGGGTGTAAAGTATGTTTTGAAGAAAACGACTTCAATTTGAATAAAATAAAATTTTGTCTAATTTGCTTCTACCAAATCCTACTGTTTTCTCTTGAACTGTGGTACTTAGGCTGTCAAAGCCACCACTCTATACCACTCTTCTGGAAGTGCTCTTTTTTTTTCTCTCTCTCTGTCTCTCTCTCTCTCTTTTTTTTTTTTTTTTTTTTTTTTTT